ACTGGAAGGCTATTTTCAAATGAAATATATCTTCAGAAATGAGTGCTGCAACTCTTGCGGAAGAGGGAAAAAAAAAAAAAAAAGAAGAAATCTTAGTAGAATTAAAACAGTTAAAACGAGCTACTAAATTTCTCTTAAGTTTTCAGATAAGAAAATGGATGTGTAGAACACCAACATCCTAGGACAGTGACAACATTACAATTTGAAACAGATCAGCATGGAGAGCTTAGCAGATCTATGACATTTTATAAGACCTAGGGCAACAGAAGTTCCTGGAGATCCATTGTTGTAGCAGAACAGGAATAATCAAAATGGGCTGGGGCAATGCAGCGTTCCTGCCTAGTTTCTGACCACAACCAGCACATCATCATCTGCAACACTGGATAAAACCACCTTATGAGATGCTTTCCCAACCCAACCCATGGACGCTCCTTCCACCTCAGACTATAAAGCCTATTCAAACTTATAAGTGTAAAAGTTATCTCAGAGAAGCCATAGGGTACAGGTGTCTTAAGCTCATCTGAAAACCTTCAAGTTTTGACAATTCAGGATGATTTCTCATTGCCATTCACCTTTTGGCTTCTCAACATGAGCTCAGAACAGAGAACGGTCATTTTATTTATTAGATCTGGGTTTGGTCTCTTTACAAATCAAATTGGAGTAATCTGTTTTTTATGTTGTTAATGGTTGAGATTTATTATCACATAATAATTAAGATGGGAAAATAATATTTTATACTGCAATTAAGTCTACCTTAAGTGCCTCTTCTAGCCTTAGTGCTGCTATTTATAAAGAATGGAGAAAGTCTGCATGTACTCGGTAAAATGTATGTTATGATTTTAGATGCTATTTATTGCTTTTTGTTTAGCCTTCGTAAATAAGCCCCATTATTTGCTCTATAATATTTGCTTCTAAAAATCAAAGACAAATCAATGTCATTTCTAATGTGCCAGACCTCCAGTGGACTCCTCTAGCCAGTGAAACTGCAATACAATATACAAGGTAGTTTTCAATCAAGCCAGATATTTTAGATCAGAATCTACCCTTTTTCTCTGCTACATTATAGTCAAGAAGAGCTGAACAGGATACAGAAGGTTGGGATTACTATATCCTTCAAAATATAGGGAAAATAAAATTAGGAAAGAGAGACTGATCCCCGCTTTCGTCTTCCACTCTTGTACTTGGCAACTACTGCTCCTGCACAATGCACTAAAACAGTTTGTTGGGTTTTTTTTTGTGAAGAGCTTTATTTGGAACTGCAAAATGAAATTCAGAATTGTCAGTGCAGGATTATTAGCAAAACAACAGAAAATCACCAAAGTGGAGACAAAGAGTTCAGAATTCAAAGTACATTGGCAATTTTCTTTAAAACAGGCTAATTACTCTGAACCAAAACTCCTCCCAGTTTGAAATCCACAATTTACTTCCAAATTCTAGACTTTGCCATATGTAATATCAATGTACACACAAATGCTGGACATCCGCTGTGCCACAAAATACCTATTGAATGTCTGTGTAAACCGTGATCTTTTTTCACATATGAATGTACTGTATCAGTATATTCTAATAGACATGAAATGTTTAACAGCCAGCTCCACACAAAATACACATACTAGGAGAAAAATCTTTCACTGGAGAAACTGGATGTGGATTAGTTATTTTCTGTTCTTCTGTTTTACCTCTAATGTCAAATATTTGTAATTTTAAAAATTTAGTTCATTTCAAAACTAACTTTCAGAGTTTCAAAATGTTACCCTACACAAATAATTTTTGTAAACAAGTGTTCAATAAAAATGTTTACGTATCCTTTTCATAGAGTAAAAATGTCCAGAAAAAAAAACATAACAAGTATCAAAACCAAAAAGAACATAAGAGAAAGAAGTAAGCATAAAAAAGAGAAATGTATTTGTCCAGACATGATCAGGAATGAATGTTATCCTCAACTTATGGAACAGAGTAATATTTTCCTAAAGAAAACAATTTATTTGTTTTCTATGAAACTGGATAAGACAATAGGCTTTATTCACCTAAATAGTGTGCTTATTTTGCATTCCAAACTCTCTACACATATAGTACTGTGTAGACTTTATAGATGTAACAACTGACTCTGAAGAAAATTCTCATCTTCCCCACCCTACCCCAAAAAGGTTCTGAGTGAAGAATGGTGTATTTACAAAGGATTTGGTATACATATATACAGATCTCCCCAAAAAGACACCTGTTACTGATATTCTTGCTAGAAGCTATGAAAAGCAATTCAAATCCAAATATTTTTGTACTGTGTTTGCTTAAGAGCCTATGAAAATGTTTAGTTTTACATGAACTATATCAGCATTATTATTTACCTACCACCAAGAAGTTGAAAAACATGTCTGTCTAAAGATGTGCTTCACCTAGGAGGCTAGATTCAAGCGATACAAATGAAAAATTTGGTGCTAACTGGAAGCAAAATATAACTTGCTGAAGTAGGATCAACTTAAAGAATCTGAAGAAAGCAGAGTTTCCTTCTTAGTGGTCACAACACATGGCCAGAAGAATAAAACAATATCAGTTTAACAGTCATATGTTATAAAGTACTTTCTTGAAGCAGTATGGAAAAGGAAAAAAGTCCTTTCCATGTCAATATGGACATACTAGTTGAAAGTGTCAAAAGGTGTCTGTGATAATTATTGCTTTTCTAATAAATGCTATTTTACTTTTTCTAGTTGCATAAACCAACTATATTATAGTAAAAAATGGAGCAAAAACTTTTCTCGTGTAGTGATGTTGCAATGGATTAGGGAATAGGATAGAGAATGTTTGCTTGGCTGTAGTTTGGTGTATCATTGGTGTAGTTTGGGGTAACATTCCTGGATGTTGAAGAAAGGCACATCAAGATCTAAACTATGCAGTGAGACCCCAGCTCTTCAGCAGTGTTTCCAGCTGTTGGTATGTTAGGGAGCTACAGCCTGCAGGAAGAGTTTTGTCAAATGAACTAGAATATCTTCCAGACAGCTGGAGGGCTACAACTAATGCGACAATAAATGAGCAAATGCTGCTTCTTCCGTTAGCTGATTTATTGGTACACCTGCATTCAGGAGAGGTACAGAAATGCTTCAAAGGATGCATCTCCAACAGATTTGAAAGGAAATCAAAATCAGGTTAAAACAAAGTTGTAAAGAATCTTTTTTTTGGTAACTACTTGAGGGCTACCGAACTACCTCACTGGTCACTGATGTGTGTTTCTAAATGACTGAGTAGGAGTGAAATACTCTAGTTAAAAAATCCTAAAGTATATAAAAGATCATGCTGCAGAGTTTAAACCCCATTGCATTGGTTACCTACAGAAACAGGCTGTGCAGACACCCCAAAATGTAGTTAGATTAATATTTATTTTGCTGATGTGGGAGAATTAAGCTGTTCAGACACAATGCAATAATTAGTGACTTCCCCAAATCTGGTGAGTCCACCCCAGCAGCTATACTTGGGCATTCTGAATGACCAACTGCCACACATCTGTAAACTGAATAAAGCTCACATATGCAAATACAAAGAAGTTTCTGCCAACCTCCCCTACCTAATGTTTTTAAAATACCTTTCAACAATGATGCCAGCAAAACATGCTCCTTCCAAAGCTCACAAAAAGCAAGACTTGTAAAAGAGCACAAGTTTTACAAAAGCACACTATATGAAAATCTTATAACAAACACTGAAACAATCACAGAAACCTGTGCTTCACCAACTAGCCCTGATAGTAAGAGACAAAAGATTTCCAGAAGCACAGCTAACCACCTCGTGATTACAGCCTAAGGACACCATTCTCACAAAAGGAAACAACTGGCTTGTCAGGTGTGTGAAGTGATTCTTTCCTCCTGAGAAGCAGAAGGAACCTGTAAGTTCAACTGGTGTTAAAGTGCAAAAGACACTCAAAGAAAAAATACACTTCTGAACAAAGAAAAAACTCATCATACTTTGCACCTGTTTAAGAAAAAAAATCCCTTTAACAAGTTGGTTCATTAATAAAGGTGCAATTGAGTACCACATCATTAAAGGAACAGGAATGAAAACAGTAAATTCTCATTAGGAGACAATGCTAAGGTATCTATCTCATTAAAAAAAAAAAATCAACACTTTCTCCCCTCACCCCTGGTTATACATAATCTCTTAGGAACTTGGTACTTACTAACATAGGATTGCTCCTGAAGTTTAAGAAACTGCTTTTTTTTGTGAGCTAAAAAGCTAGAATTTGTTCCCATATTTCTAAGAAAAAGTGCTACTTATTGTGAACAAACACAGCAATGAGAACAGAAAAATCTTTAGGGAAAACTGCTACTCATTTCAATATCACAAACAAGACATAAGCATGGGGAAAGTGACAAATTCTGCATTCTCTCCATAACAGACTCTCTTTCTGTTAACATTGTAAGTTAGAATAGAGAAACTTCAATCACTGTGGCAAGCAGGCAGCTCATGAATAGGCTTGCTAACATCAACAAGACTATTCGTATGAACAAATGCTCAAAATGACTATGAGACTTCTTGTATATCCTTTGTAATGTTAAAATCAGCAGGACTACTGTGGTTTGCAAGTGCTCTCCCACATGCACTAAGAGCTGAAGGCAAGAGGCGTGCTCATGCAGTTAAAGCCTGAATCAGTCCTCTGTTTTCAGATAAAAATATTACAACACATTTTAACAACAGAACTAATGGATTCACAGATACCAGGCTTTACCTAACTATAACTAAGGCCTGAAGTTAGATTCTGATGTGCATTGCTCAAGTAAAATACTACTTTTACTGTCGGAACGGTTATTGGTTAACTATGAATGCAATTCTGCTTGAAGACCAGGAGATTTCAAACTACATTCAAAAAGTATAGAACCAGGATGGTAATACATAAAGGATCTGTGAGAAAGGAAGCACTAGAACTAGCAGCAAGGTGGGGTTGCCTGCATGGTCAGCCCTTCATTTGAATGCAAATGTAATTTTGGGGCAGGCAGTTATCTGTGACATCAGGCAGGACCTTAGTAAACTGTTACCACCAGCACCTGGTAAAACCATTGTTAATCATGTGTAGTAAAGGGACATCAGGGCTAGCATGAGTCATTTATAGAGCCAGTCAGGGCTAGAAAAGACAGAAAGAAAGAGGAGGGGAAGAGAGATCAAACAAACCCTGTGAGGAGCAGGATGTCCCAGCAAGACAAAGCCAGGCTGTGAGCATCATGTATGTGAGTTATCTTTTGGATAAAGAAACCAGCATGTATCCAGGACCTGCAAGGTGCAGCAACAACAACCTGCCAGTGCAAAACTTCGCGTCCGCTCCCCCCTACTCAGACTACATGGGCTATCACCATGTGCCAGCCCTGGACAACCACGGACAGCCTGCGGGAACCTGGGGATCCCACTATGGCCCACAGAGGGAGGACTGGAACGCTTATGGCCCAGGACCTTCCAGCACCGTGGCTGCTGCACAGATCAATGGCTCGTCTCCTGGGCAGGTCTCCTACAGCTCTGCTGATTACAGCTCCCTCCATCCTGCTGGATCCGGGGGGTTACCTCCTGTAGATACAATTAATGCACAGCAAATCTCTCCCAACAGCCAAAGGCACAGCTCTTATGAATGGATGAGGAAAACAGTACAATCTACTTCTACAGGTATGAGGGCAGAGAGGCTATGCTGAGATGTGATTTCTCTCTTTTGGGTGGTTGGTTTTGTGTTGAGTTGTTGCTGCCACCAGGTTCTGTGTTTTGAGGAAAGCATACATTTTTAACAACAACAAAAAAAAAAGATCCTAATTGCTCTGAACAATTCTCTTGCTAGCAGTTAAACATTGGTTCTATTTTTGGATGTTGTTTTTGATCAGCTCATGATCTCTTATTTCTTTCTTGACGTTTACTGATGAAACAAATTAAGAGCAGTGTCCTTTAACAGTGAATTGTTTTCACTTAGGATATGTTAAAAAAAAAAAAGTGACATCAGATAATTGCTTTTAATAGCAGTCCTATAGATTTAAAGGAGGAAGCATGTCTGTAGAAAGAAATCACAATGAAAGTATCATATTTCTCCGCCACCTATATTGTTTGTTTTCCTCAACTTTTAGAGTAGATATGAAAAGTTCAAGTAAAATACATATAGTACTGGGGTTGGAAAGAAACCTTTGTATTAGATATAACCTCTTAAACCTCAGAATACTGAAATGAAGTGTCTGCAGGATGAGAGGCTTTAAAAACAGGACCAAAAAGGAAAGGCTTGCCACCCCTTGTAGCAGCAGTTCTCAGAAAATGCAGAAATATAAAGATCTATGGTAACACAATCAGTTAATATTATGATGGGTCAACCTCTGATGCACATGAGTGGATGCATTAAAGGAAAAAAAAAGCTTCGGTCACATTTAACAAGTAAAAATAAGTCAAGAAGCCTGAGGAAAAGATTTTGGTTGTGGGAAGCAGGGAAGTAACACAAAAAATATGTAACTATTAAACATACTTAAAACATCTCTGTTCCTTGTATCAACAGAAAAAAATAATAATCAAACAAGGAAGGAGAGAAGGAAAGGAGCAAGAGGGGAAACTGCCTGAAAAGAACAGACACAATCCACTATAAAATAGCTGATCCTCCAAGGTGCTGAGCAGCTTTTACATGCAGAAACATCAGTAGGAAATAAGGATGCTCAGTACCTCCCCTTAAGAGATGCTCACAGTATTTTAATGTTACATCTCAGGAAGGTTCCTTTCCTTTCAGCCCTTCCTCCCTTCCAGCTCTGTTCCACACATGCCTGCAAATTATGGTTTTCAAAGACAGTACTGAATCAATCTCTGAGAGGGAAGCAATTAATTTAAAAACATGCCCTGCAAAAATGAAAGCAACTAAACAGAAAAATTGTCTTTATTAAAATAATGCATCTAATGTGTATGGACAGACTGAGCCACACTTACTCCTGCTGAATACAGCTTCAGCAGTACAGCTTCAGCTCATAGGGAGTCCATAGAGGACAACCAATTAGAGTATGTTGTTACTCTGGGTGCATAAAAATTGTGGCAAATAAAAAAATACAGGTTGTGGAGTGTTGTGGTTTTTTGAGTATCCATGTCTACCTGTATCTAGTTGCTCTTCATTGAATGCTACCTAAGGAAAGATAAAAGAGGGGGGCCAATCACACAAGGACTTACGGTTTACTTCTGGGTAGTCCTTATTTATGCAATGACATTTCTCCTCACAAACCCTATGATTTACAGATGGCAGCATACTTGCTCAAAAAACACTACTTCTCATCTCATCTTTACCTACCTGCCTCTTGCTCCTGTGGATTTAAACTGCAGCTTTACCCTTCTGTCTCTTTGGAAAAAAAGAACATAAGGAATTTCTCTGCAAGAGCAGATGAATTACGTCTGTTGTTTATTAGCTATTTTTATTCCCTGTGAAACAGGTATGAACTATGATTCTTAAAGATGGAAAAAAAAAAAAGGTTTAGATTTACCTGAAGTCATAAAAAGATTATAGAAATAACATTTAGTATTTGTTCATTACTTGTTGCAATATACTAGTCATCAATAATATGATTTCACCATGGGAACAATTATTATTAATTCAAGTAATTTTTGCAAGGTGTTCCTGAACATCTTCCAGAAATGCTCCTGTAATCGTATCCCTTTAGGATCAGGAAAGATTCCTTCCATGTGTTTACTTACATAGGGTAGTCTGACTTGTAGCAGCTACAGAAACAGGGCCCAGATTCAATGACATTTCCATCTCCAGGGGTTTCATGGTTAGCTTCTCTTACTGGTGCTTTGTGGCCTCACAACCTGACAAATGACAAACAAAACACTTGACTGAAATTTCTGTCACTGCCTCATATCCTATGGATCTTTTCATATTGTTGTTTAAACAATTTACACAGAACAAAAGAATGATTTCTAGTTAAATCTTACTGTGTGTAATTTTAAGAACATGAAATACAAAAGCATGTCTTTATCTGGTATTAAGTAAAGCTCATGAGATTATGCTACTTAAAACCACTGGAAGATCTCAGTATTTAATGCAAGACTGTCATGCTGACTTAGCAGCACTGGAATGCACTTCCCACAGAAAACACCTAATCAGGCTTTCATCCACCATTCCCTTTGGTCAGAGGATGTCTGAACATCCCTCTCTGCAGCTTTGGAACTGGAGGGAGTAGGACTTGATCCTAAATACAATGCACATAGGATCCAATGCCTGGTCACTGAATTCCTGAGGGTGTTCAGGATACAAGAGAAAGCAAGTGTTTTCACTCAGAACACTCGAAGGAGGAAACACTGGCCATTTAGTATTTTCATTCAATAGCACCAGTGGAAAAAGCCCCTTCTCTAACCCTTACACTGCCCATCTCCCTAAACTACCATTGTGAAAGAGCAAGCAAAGCCAAGGCAACTAGCAATCGCAGCAAAGAACAAAGCCACAGCAACTAGGGATCTGAGATGGCAATTCACGTACACACAAAGCATAATTGCAGGCAAATTCTTTGATGGAAAGTACAATAAATCCATCTTTGAACAAATTATGAAATCTTCTTCTATTGATTTCAGTATTTTTACAGGGGTATGCAACCCTGAATATAGGAGACTTTACTTTTAGCCTTTGTAAGAAAATAACATACATCTGCCCAAAACCATGCCCAAAATAAGACTGAATAGGTAAGCACCAAGCAGTTTCAGCAGCAGTAAGAATTAGGTCACAAAGCTGAAAGTACATCTTCAGATCTAAATCACATCTTCAGATCTCAACCTCTATTACCATTAAGAAGGGGAGCAAGCACAGAAACAGGGAAACTAGTTATGAGCAGAGACTTTTCCTGTACATGACACCACCCCAGTCACTGTTCAGTAAAACAACTGACAATTAATAAACTCTGACAATTTTTCTGATTACGATGACAGGTGCTGACAGCATCATTACCCAAGGCACTGTAAATCTAGAAGAAGGAAGAAGTTATATCCCCTCAAATCTAAGAAAGAAACAAGCCTCTTAAGAAGCTATTCCTGCAAAATTTTGAATTTCTAAAGAACACACCCCTAGGAAAAAAAATAAAATCAGTTAATTGCTTGCTTTTTAGTATATACAGCCATGGGCAATGGCATTTTTCCTGACCTTGCCACTTAGACATCTGTCTACACTTTTGGCCACTTGTTCCCTTCTCCCAAACAAAATGCACCCCGAGCAGGCTGACCAATCGTCATTTAAAGGTGACAAAAATGATTCTGCTTTGGGTTCAATTATTTCTGTATGACAGAGATGAATAGTTTACACTAACAAAGTGAAGGACAGAATTTGGCAAGAGCTTTATTACAGAATACCAGAATGTACTCCAAATTGAAACTGTCAGCACTTTAAATAGGAGTCAACAGTACAGAGATTAAAATGCTGCAAGTCCGTTGACAGGTTCTGATTTCTATGATACTACTTTGTCCTTTTCTCCATGAGTCATCTGAATACGTACAAGAAATTATGATCAAGACCCGTCAGAAAATACAGACACAGAATTTCACCATGCTTCACAAACCTTCATGCATCCATCTTCACAACAGTCCCCCTCACCTCACTAAGACTTGCAGGAGGAAGACAATTACTCACACTTTACAGAATCAGACTCACGTAACATTTTCTAATAGAATGGCAGTGTGTATTTTTAAATTAAACTCTACAGAACTTCATGTGCAACACAATGTCCTTCTTCAAGACTTATTTAAATTACTTTTGTTTCACAAATTCAATGAAGTCAGTGAAATTTCCCTAGAGCGAATATGGCCCTTTCATTTCCTAACTTTTAAAGTGCGTGAATATTTGCAAATAGTCTCCCCCTCAAAAAAGAAAAAAAAAAAAAAGAAAAGAAAAAACCAACACACACTCTGGGGCCTGAGCTCCCATGGTCCTTACCTTTATTACAATTGCAAAAACTAACACTAATCTCTCTCTTAATACTGAGCCAACCTACAGCTGCAGATGCAAACAGAGCATATCTTCATGCCAGCAAACTGTTTGACATTTTGAGCTGACTTATGCTGACCTCTCGCTATCCAGCACAGACATTAACTCCCTCTGACACAATATTAAACTATTGAAACTATGATTCTTTGTACATTATCTGACACTGTTCCGTACTACATTTCCTGTCTACATTAGATAGCTGGTGGATTTTAGGAACAATGTCAATTTTGGAAGATGAAGGATTTTCCTGAGCAGTTAAGAGACAAGGCACAGAAAAAGGGGCCAGGGCTAGTTCTCATGCTAATTTATTTTACTTTGTAAACTAGTTGTGAGGTCTGATGGTGGCTTTTTTTCCCCTCCTTTCCTGGGCTACATTGTCTTCAGTTTTGAGGCCTATCTGTCATATTGAGGCAACAGACCCTTTTAACACTTCTCTTTGCTTTGATATGCAGTCTTGTCTCTTCCTTCTCCCTTTTTTCTTCAGGAGTTATATTGCCGGAAAGGGTGATGATTTTCACAGCAAATAAAGAGGCCTTCTCCTAGCTTTATTGTCTTCAGAAGAAATACTCTGTGAATTTTATGGCCAATGGGAAAGCTGTTCCCTTCCCCCAACTCAGAACTTGGCCAGTCACAAAAATTGCTGAAGTGGGTGTGATAGAACAGGATTGTTAGAAAACTTTACATGAGATAGTTTAAGCCTAAAACGTCTTTTTCCTCTTTATTCCGAAGGCAGTCTTAAACAGTCACCATGGGTAAAACTGTATTTTTGTTTGTTTTGTTGTTGTTTTTGACAAAATTCACTTTTCTTAAATAGCTCAAAAGCAGAAAATCTGCTCCTCTAGCACAGAGGCAGTCATACTGCAAAGGCAGTCACTTCAAAGCTCCTTATTTTTTCTTCCACTGAACTACCACTAAACCCTCCAACCATTTGCAGCTCCATGGTATGACTGGCCATGACAACACTTTCCTAATAAAACTGATAACATATTGCTGATTGAAATGACAACCTGACATTAATAAAAGATTAAGACCACAGAAAGTTAAATGTTGTTCACTCACCTGAGTAAAATACGCAGGGTCTGACTAAAGGATTGTATTAAAACATTAACATTTATCATTGGATCATTAAATTCAGTCATCACCTACTAAACAAGTCTGAGAAGTGAAAAATAGCCTTCTGCTGTCTCTGGGGTGAATCCATTAGTTCTACCTCAGATTTTACTCAGGTAATACTTACTGAAATAACACGCATTGCTGTAAATAAAACCAGTAGGTATTCTGCAAGATTCATGGCAGAATGCACTACAGTGGATCTGTTCTACCTAACAGATGAAATTCAGAGGCTGAATTCCTGAACTGTCTAGCAATAAGTTTTTAGTGCTGTTGTTTGTTAACCTTGGAAAATAAATAAAAATGTATTTTGCCTTTGAAATCAAATGACATACACAGAGCAATTCCAACCCAGCATCCAGCAAAGGCACGTGGAAGTGTCTCACTGACATCAGGACCTTTCCCACGTCTCACTAGGAGTAAAACACGGCGCTGCCAGAACTAGAAATACCTTCTCAGAAGAGCTCAGATTTCTCAGTCTGTTGTTGACTTTTAAGAAGGAAGTGTTCTCCTTTTCCCTTTCCCTTTTTAAAAATTACTTTGTTACCTTACTTTAAAGAAATAAGGTAGGTGCAAAACCTCCTAATCTTCCCTCAAAAAGGAAGAAGAAATTGTAATTTCTACTACAAAATAAACAGAAAGGTAATTCGTACAACAGTGAAAGATTTTATGGAAGTTCTGTTTTCCACATACATTTAATTTCTTCAGTTTAAGAAAAGAAAAAACAACCTCTACTACTCAAATAAGGGTTTAAGCACTTAAAATCATAAATAGGAAGGCAGATCTCAAAGTTTACCACCTTGTTTTGGCAACAGAAGAGCTTCTGATATTTGTCTATGGCTTCTGAATGAGAATAGAGCTGAAGATAAGATCACCTTGTTGCTCCTTTGTGTACTCCATCTTAACAACACAAAGGAGACTAAGGAAACATTTTAAATATTTTGTCCCACAGAATGACCCCAAACTTTCATTTGAAGAGGAAAACCTTAACCAAAAAACAGACTAGAGAGATCAAAAGCTTAAAAAATTTCAAATAAAGCATTAAAGCACCACAGGTGACCATACGTTAAACAAACAATTTACACTTCGAATGAATGAAAACAAATGTCCTACTATTTATGTGGACTGCACTAAACTGCTGTTCTTCAGGGACTTTAAAATTCTTACCATAATATTGCAAAATTAGCAGCACTTTTCACTTGATTAGCAGGGTAAACGTAATTGGGCTAATTCTGCTTTTCACTACGGTTTTGCCATGGCAGAAATGCTCCTGAAATGAGAGCATCTAACCCAGCCAAGCACAGCAGAACCTTCACAGGGAAGTTAACAGATCGGGGTGAAGTGTTTCTGGCTACATGAAAGGAGCAGAAACCCCAGCAAAAGCAAGCAACAAACACAAAAAGCACAATTTATTTTTCCTCCTGAAACATTCCAACTAAGCTCAGACAGTTTAGAAATGCCCGTATCATTGTAAACTCACTATTAATGCACAGAGCTTTCCCAGGGTCGAACAGCACAGAGTGAGGAAACTGAAGGACCAAATTGTGATGTAAACCATGTTCTACAAGTCCAGGAAGGGTCCTAGAGAAAGCCTGTCCCATAGGGCGACACAGTTATTGTCCACAACTAGAGGTATAACAGTATTTGTTTACAGCACTGCAGTGCCCAGGATTGCCAGTGCTATACAGTGCACACAGTTCTGCATCCAGGATCAACACAAACCAGACAGAAAGAATCTGTACCTGAAGCACTTCATAATATAAATAGTACCAGAGTGAGCCAAAAACTCCTACAAGTAACAAAGTACTGGTTGTCAAACACTGTTAGAGAAAGGAGTGACATGGTTAAGTCATTACCATGTGGTGTATGCATGTAGATAATAAGTGGAGGGTAACGTTAACTTTATACATGTTCGGCCATGAAAACAATGAGATTTCATTCCTCCTTGGGCATACGGGGAAAAAACATTAAGTCATGAAACAAAATCATGAATTAAGGGATAAAGTACTTCCAGATTCTGCTACACTGTTGTAGACTGAATTCTGATCTCTGAGTGCTACTTAAACTTCAAAAGCAAGGGAAGCTGGAAGGACAGGCTGGGCAGAAATCAGGCCTTTGATACTACTGATACCTGAAACCTTCAGCTATTCTGTCCTGCAGGGGGGAAGCTGGTTGCTCTGTGGTGGCATGCCGTAGTGACCTACACAGAGACTGAAATTTTACCAGCTCCTGTCTGAAAATCTATTTCAGTGATATCCATTCAAAAATAATTAGTTATTATGAGTTAAAGTGTTATGAGTCTATGAGTCTGAGATTCTTTTGTTTTTTTGAAAAGTTATGCACGCATACTTTTTTTTTCAGAAAAAAAAAAAAAACTGTAAGACAAAAATAAAGTGCTGTTGTATGAAGCTAAGCTACATCTGCAGCACTACCAGGCTGCTACAGGCAGCAAGCCACAAGATGCCTCCAGTTCTGTGCACGATCTGAGAGAACCTGGCTCCAAAGGTGTTGTTCTCACCTACTGGGGGGGAAGATTCCCAAACTGCAGTACTGCTGTGGAGCACACTGCCAAAACTACCAACTACAACTACATTCCCTGTCCCAATTCACAGAGGAAATATTTGCAGCTGAGGAACTGTCCAGATGAATACAGACAGACAAGAAAACAGAAAACGAACCAGCAAGGCACTATTAGCAAACCCTGTAACAGTGGTCTTAGCACAAAAATGATATAATCTTTCCAAAATGTAGGAAGCAGGGCTAAGAGGCCTTGGTTTTAAGCAGTTGTTGATCTCCAATATTTTGATTGCCTAAAATAAGTATTAACAACAGAGAAGATGTGAGTGAGAAAGAAAGCATCAGCAGCCTCTCTCATTCTCAATTCTGTTTCACTACTACCAACGTCTTCTGTCCCTACAAATTACCCTGTATGGAATCGATAAGTTTCAGCTACTTGCATGCATGTTCCCTGGCTCATGTCATTTGCTGTTACCTTTTAACCCAGATACCACTGAGCCATGTCTGCTTCAGTCAGCTGTGCCTTCATCTGAAGCGATGCAGCGCTGCTGCTTGCAAAAGAACAGATGCTGCCGTTCTAGCGTTGTTGAATGTCCTTTGTTAAAATTACTGCTTTCTTTTCATCTTTTTTTCTTTTTAATTAGCTGTCATCTGAAAGTCTCTATTACTATTCCTTGAGCTATTATCAAGTTGTGGATAGATTGTGCTAGATTTGAAGGAAAAACATAGCCACCAAATTGCAGTAACAACCACAATATCAAATGAGTATTTCTAGCAACTGGAACTGAGGAAGTTTGGAAGCTCTCAGCATTTTCTATGCAGTTAAATATCCTCCACATTTCTCTCTGAATCAGGTGGCAGTTTATCAGCTTTAAGAACAGAGAAACAGAGCAATTCAACACTATGCAGGAAGCCTGCATCAGAGTTAGGAACAGATCCCAGGTTTCCTGGCTCCTCATTCTTAACAAGAACACCTTCCCTTTCCCAAATGATAACCCAAGGATAGTAAAGAATATGAGCACCAGTTTACCTTCTATTTACTAAGAAGCAAACCCAAACTCTGGTGGTATGAACCTCGTGTTGTAAATCAAGACTAAGTCCACTACAGTCAAGGGAGTCACTTGGGGTAAGTGCATAGAGAACGAAGTCTAAAATACCCACAAACGTTATCAAATGCAAAGTCAGATATTTTATGTTACTGAAGTTAAAAAATTCTAGCTTGAAGCAATGTGTTCTTCTTTCAAAACAGGTAAAACAAGAACGAGAGAGAAGTACCGAGTGGTTTACACTGATCATCAGAGATTAGAATTAGAGAAGGAATTTCATTACAACAGATACATTACAATCAGGAGGAAGTCTGAACTTGCTGCAAACCTAAGACTTTCCGAGAGACAGGTAGAGTATGGATCACCCGTTCAGAGTTTCCTTTGCATTTATTATTGCTGATGAGGAGATAACCACACCAGTTAAGAACGCAGAAATGCTAATGCCTCTAATAACCTACGTGACCGGGTTCCCTTTGCAGTTAAGGAACTCAAACTACCCAGCTGAATGGCCTGCTGGCTTTCTTTCTACTCTTTCCTAATTATCCCATCAGCACTAGCTCAGCTCACATGATGACAGCAGAGAGCTGTGCAACAACACAGAAACACAAGCACCAGTCCGACAGCCTTGTTCTGAGAAAATATCAACACAATGCTGCCTGGAGGTCTTGGTTTGGCTGAGGCAGTGGTAGGAGGGTGAAAGCTTTGCAAAACTTCCAAGCAAAAGTCCTGGTTCTGCTGAAGTCAGTGGGAACTCTAATTTCAACCAGGTCAGCCTTAGCAGGGGTGCAGCTACTAAATATAAGTGATGAATTCACTCATGGTCAGGACACTGAAGGTGTTTGTCTCCTTGGCTACCTCCAACCTTTTGTTAATAATTTCCTGTACTCTTGCTGATCCTTTCCTCCCTATTTCCTCCCATCCCCTCCAAATTCCCCTTGCATTCCCACAACTGAAAACAATCCTTCCGGGCCAAAAGATAAATACAATTTGCTCCGGAGCCATTCAGTGCCATGTTCTTCACTCATGCAGTTGCAGTGCACGTGCCACCTCCTGTGAGAGCAAAGCAGGAACCTGGCCCCTGGCTCATGCAAACCAAGATAAGATATCAAGCTAGATCTTCCCCAAAGACACTCGTAAAATGAGCTGAGCATGCATTCTGCCCCATTTGACTGGGGACTTTCTTGATGCCATACACTGAAGGAAGCAGCAACCTGCAAAATTAAAAGTTTTATTAGAAGATCTCCATGAACAGATTTCGGGGGAGAATACGCTCATTTGTTGGCCTATTTGCAACGTGAATAACCATCACCGCACCATTTTCCTCCGTCAGTTATCATTCTGTACCAGTCATTGTACCTGTACCAGTACCTGAGTCACCACTGTTTTAAGCGCTCTGTTGAGCAGGGACAATTCAAAATCCACCTAGCTGCAGCACTGTGCAGCCCTCTTGCACAGCACACACACACTGGAAGAGCTTACAGTAATGGAGAAGCAAATACTTTGTAAATACTACTCGATCTGCTGTTGAATGCAAGTATATATTGAAAACTACAGTTATTTCAACTGGGTATAAAGAACATACTATTTGTTTTCTAGTTGGCTGCTTAAATCCTAATAATGATTTCATTATTAAGACTTAATTTAAAAATGAAGACCGTCTTCTGTAAACAGCCAACAATATTTACTTGAAACTTCCCTGAGGGGTGATAATTCCTGATAAACCTTTTGTTAGCAGATAAGAAGTGGTGATACAAAAAAGCAAAGCACATTTTTTGACATGTAGCAGCGCTTTTTTGGCATGTTAGCAGGGTAACATGGCTAAAGTTTTTGCAATATTTGCTCTTCATCATCAATATTTCATAAACAAAATTAATTCCACTGCATAAAGACTGCATCTCTGAAGTCACTCTTGAAAATTTAAGATTAAGGAGGAAATATCTCATCTATACTCCCACTACTCATCTTTCACACAAAATTAAACTCCATTGGATGAACATGGCTGAACACACACGGTCCTATCCCAAATTGCACTGCACTGAATCTAAAACCTGAAACAACTTATTTTTTTTTGTCCTGACTATGCCAAAAATCCCATCCAGGACATCGAAGAGATTATCTCAAGAAAGAAGGACAAAGAAAAATGCTTAAACAAGAAAGGAAAAATGTGGTATCTAGTACCAAATAAGTAGTATAATGAAGGATTTCTGAAATAGAAAGGATACAGAAATAAAGAGATGGTGAGGAGAAGAAGAGAGGGGAAGACTTCAAGGAGAAGGGTTATTTAACAACTGAACAATGGAAAAAATACTGAAAGAAAGGAGAGCAACAGGTAAAAGAACAACTCAGCTGCAATTGATCACGTTGGCTTTTAGTGTTTGGTAATTGGTATTCAGCCTTGAAATGCCTACTACAACATCGCTCTGGAGCACTGCTGCAGGTCTGCACCCCTAGTTTAATAACAAATCAGAATAAAACTCTAAATTCAAAGCAGATAATGCTAAACACATAGGGTAATTCTGAATCAGATGTTAGTTTGGGTTTTAGGTTGTTTCATCTTTTCATGCATTCTGGCAAACGATGGGCAAAGCACAAAAAGCATAAAAATTACCACAGCACAGTACCAGTGCAGGATATTGGAAAGTATTCGAGTCAGGTTTAACAGAACATCATTTGTTACTGAAGTGATATTCCAGAAACGACAAAAAAAAATGAACTGACAAGTGTTTGAAATGACAGCCTTCGACTTAAGGAACACGAGTTCAAATTTTTACAATTTCTATGTGCATCTGAAATCTTCACATTCAGCTGGAAAATGGGAATAATAATGGCTCAAGAATAAGCACATCAAGATTCCTTAAGATGTTTTGTGGGACTTCACCACTAGGTTTCTTTTAGTGGCCACAGATATTACCACTTCTTACTGTTTTACCCATTTTCTGATCATGGCCTAGTTATCTTTTGCTAAGCAGCTAGAAAGGAAAAGAAAACAAATCAGTATTTCTCAGCAAACCACAGATTTGGAGGAGGGAGGATTATGCAAAATACCGACAAAATTGCTTCCTTTGTCATCTGAACAGCAAAAGAAAAAAAAAAAAACATGTCTGAATGTGATAGCTTAATCCATTATGCAGACTACATATAACAAGGAGCCATTTCCAAGGATAAATAGTAGGCACACACTTGTTTAAACTCAGTGCTGGGAATTCACATCCAAAGACGCTTCAGTTGCCACAGAACAGTCACTCTTTCACACCTGAACAAAATCTGCTGTATTACTCGTCAGCTTCATCTCACACCCTCACTTGTTCCATCCTAATCAAAAACCATGAAACTCTTTGACAGTTGCTTCATCTCTTCCCAAAGATCACATTTCTGTGACAGAGCAGTAACTATGATATAAAGTTACGGACTGTGTGGGAAACAGCAGCAGATTCTGGCCCCGTCTACACAGGCAATAAAAGGCACTTAGCTGTTAAGGCAGCACTTCCATAACACTTGGAAATAATGTGTACCCATGGTGACATGTTGCTCAGAAGTTTATTTCCATTGGCTTACACAGTGGAGCAAAGGAATTAATGTTCAGCATCCACGCAGGATAGCTTTTGTGCCTCAGTGCACAGGCCAATAACAGGTTTTGAATTGCTCTGGCTTAGGATGTACAGTTTTCAATGTAAAGATACTCTCAGATTCTTTTGGCTGTAACTGTGATGCATGAGATTGTTTTATTAGATTTTGTACAAAAAAAAAATCAAAGCTCATTTCATTAAGAAACACCTCCTAAGAATAACACTAAAAAATTGTTTATCAAGCTAAACAACAAATTACCTGTGTGAAAAAAGCAAACAGCTCTGTTGTTTCTGTTTGCTATTGCCTTTCTCACCGGTCCTCACACAGTTGATTTCCCTCTTATGCCCCTTGACTCTATACACAAAGGACCACATTGCAGTCCATTAGCAATTGAAAAAAATTTCCTCTGCTTCTCTGCAGGTGAAAATCTGGTTCCAGAATCGCAGAGCCAAAGAAAGAAAATTAATGAAGAAGAAAATGACTCATTTTGACGGCAGCAATCTTGGCTCTATGCAGAGTGACTCTGGCTCAGTGAGCCCAATGCCAGCTCCTGACCAACAGACTCGTTCCGAAATGTCCGGTTCTTTATTTCCACCTCCACCTCCTCCACCTCCGCTTCCAATGAGTGGCTTGCAGCACAGCGGGAACCTGCAGCAGGTAGTGGCCTCTCAGTAAGGCTGCCTGAAGAGCCACTGCTTAAGGAACGCTATAAACTACCAGTACACGTAGCACTACGGTATGAGAGAGAGAGGACATCTGGTGCTGTTTTGCAGGAGTCCCCAGCATGACGGTTCTGTGCACATAAACTTCAAGTTTAGTAAATCAAGAGTCACTTGCCAGGTCTGCAGGATAGTGCGAGTTCCCAAAGGCAATGGAGCTGCTGTGTGCCAGGAGGCCCAGCTGCAGAGAGCCTCTGCGGGAGGATGCCGTGCTGCCCGTGGCACAAGGCAAGCCTCCCTCCAGCCACGCAGCAGGGGGGTAGGCACTGGGAGGGAAGAGAGCTGAGGGCTAGGCACGGCCATCTGTTACCTTATGCTGCAGATGAAAAAAAGGCACAAACCAGACCTCAAGCAATAGGACGTTGCTGGGGCATTAACGGTGGCTTAACGCAAGTGCTCTGTGCCTCGCCCCTAGGCAAGGAGTATATTCCTTCTTCAATCTCCACGCAGGTTCCAGGTGCCAGTCTCACTTTCATGGACTCTACAGGTGGATCTTGATAAGCAGAAACCTGGCTTAAATGTTTTGAGCCACCTGATGGAAAGCCTGGGTTGTTGGCTACATTCAGCTCTGTTTTAAGTGCAAAAGTCGAGGATGAGCTTTTGGGAATTTTTTGGTTTTGACAGGTATGATTTCCAATGCTCCATATGCTGGTATAAACATGCACTCAGCCTTACCATAAATGTTTCGAAAACATTCTGGAAACGTGAATCTTGCCCTAAGTTAATTTTTGTTAGAACAAAAATCAGGTTGAACTCATTCTGCATCCTATATAAATAGTAAAGGGGTGGGGGGAATCCTCTTTAAAATTGTAGGTATTTAAAAGAGTGATTTCTTTTTATTAGCCAGCATAACCCATGGATAGAGATGCAATAATTGCGCTCAACTGATTTTACATTTGGACTGCTTTTCAGAACTCTTGTGACATTAAAAAACTCTGAAAAGCTACATTAACAGAAGGTAAAAATATTTTACCTGAATACATGCTCTTGCCAATTTCTAGGTGGCACCTAACACTCAGCTCCTAAACCGTCATCTGAGGATCAAAATAGGAGGTCTCAATTCCCAAAGTGATGATCTTCCCTATAATAAGCAGAAAGTGGAAGATAATCGCCACTTAAAAATAATCCAGATACCTACTTCCTGAGCTGACTACCAATTGCATGTTCGTATCTTTTGGCTCCAAAGGGAACATCTTTACAGCACCCAGGTAATTTGGAAACTCATACTCCCCTTTGTCAAAAGGGATTCAGAAATCTAGGATGCCTACCCTCACAAATTTCCAGCAAGGTGTCCTACTAAATATCTCCAACACTGTTGCAAATAAGACTTAGAAGCATTAAGTCATTTAGGCACTACATTCTTTTTGTTTTTGTGTTGTTGTTTTCTTAATTATAACAAATAGTACTATTAGATCATCAAAATGTTCGTAATGTAAAATTACTTTGTATATACAGAACATTAAAATAAATGACTTTTTTCAAAAATCTTTTTCCAATGTGATATCAGCTACTGTAGCAAGTGAACATGAAGATTTTCATGAACAGTGTTACTGAATTGTAACATCAAGTTCAAAAGTAGGATTGCAGTCAAAATGCTTATAAAAAGTAGAGAATGGCAAAACCAGGATAATCCAGGGAGCTGGCAGTTTTCACTGTTTCTTGATTTTACTTACCATTTTCTGGTTGTGAGAAGGGTAGCATAAAGTAAACTTAAGTAAACTTTAAGTGAACTTAAAATGGATGCACATCTACACTGTAAAATTCCCACTCCTCCCTTTCATTGTGCTGCCAGCAACAGCAGGTTTAAGCTTTGCGTTGGTGAGACAGCCAAACAAGATGAAGAAACTACAATTCAAAGTTCAGCAACAGATTTCCACACATTATGGAAAGTAGAACGTGACAAATGGCACTTTGGAACAAAAGTGATTTAACACCCACTTTGATGAGCATGGCAACCAAACCAAAACATCGATTTCCCAAAAGAGATACCCACTGCATATGTCCAAAAGAGGAATCCATTGGGAGTGCACAGAACAGCCATTCTGTCTACTGAGGGAAATGCTAGAGATACTTTACATACAGTTCACGTACACACAGGACACTTAAAAAAGACTCAAAAAGGTTCAGAAAAAAAAAAGACAACCTCAAAATGACCCATTAAATGTGGAAGTAAGTTTGCATACTAGAGAAAAATCAGTGAAATCTTCCAGATTTAGAATTTGGAAAGGTAAAAATAAAAAAGGAAGCTCTGAAATATAGTAATTTGGGACCTAGCTCTAGCTAAGTGCACAAAACCCTGGCCCCAGGGTTTTGCAGGATCAAGTTCATTGCTAACTTTTAATCACATTTCCATGCTATAGTTGGATTCTGTATGAGAATTTCCAAAAGAAAGAAAGAAAGAAACAAAAAGAAGTCCTTCAAGTAAACTGTAAGAAAAATCTATCTGATCACAACTTCTTTCTCTTGAAAATTATTTAAAGATCATTCAAAGAATGAGGGATCTGGCAAAATGACCTGTTTTATCTTGTTTACATGTAGAAGAGTTATTGAGGAAGATAAGTGACTACTTTGAAGATCTGCCTCATTTCTGTTTCAGTTTACTGAAAGCATGCTTGCTATAGGTTGCTATGTGTTTCCAATCAGAAGTTGTTAAGTACACAAAATAAGGCTGGATTTTATTTGCAGAAGCACATGTTCAAAGGTTAAAATTTATTGCTCCGAAAGCAGTATCTTTAAACCAGGGTAATACTTTAGGGATTATTAACCCTCTAGTTATGCCAGTGATTGCTTTAAGTAGTGTTTTTTTTTGTGTGTGTATGGTTTTTTTGGTAAAACTTACCAGCAATCTATTCAGTATTTTCAACCTTAATTCTTTAAACAAGTTGCTCACCAAAAATGCATGAAAGATACTTTTCATCAAGCAGCTTATGAAGTACTGCTGTTTAGGTGCTATATTATATATAACTAAAAACAGGAGACATAAAATTGGAGCCAAATCAACTGCAAGTATTTTGGTCCAACACCATGAGTCACAAAACACCAGTACCAGTCCTCAGAACGATACTTGCTTCCTTTCTGACTGTGGGCATATCATGTAACCTATCACTTTTATCACATCTATAAAACTAGGGACACTAAAGCAGGGCTTCTCTGAAGATTGATTAGTTGTTAGCAAAGTGCCTTGAAGAAGAAAAGCATACCTTAGACTACATCACAAGAATATCTAAGCCCTTAATCCTAATTGTGATTAAAGCAATGATCAAGGTATACTCAGTTTTCAGAGGAATTCACTAAACTTTAAACCCTACTACCCCAAAAGAAGTGTGATTTGTATGGTACAAAAAGATCAAGAAGAACATATCAAACAGGACCTCCAACAAAAACTTTATGCATCTAAATTAGATATACAATTCAAAATGGCATTTCCAAATCAAAAAACTCCAAATATGTGTTATCTGCAATTGCTTAGGGGTTATACAATCATTAATGTACATATGAGAGAGCATCAAGTATGTGTTACCTTCTATCCCAAGAGCAGATTCAAAAAACATATTCACTCTGGATGTTAACATACACGAAGAATCATGCTATTTCAGCACCCTTATTTAGTTTGCTGGAGCAGTACAGGCTTGCTCCAACACACACTTTTGCATCCAGAGCGTGCACTCAATGATGTATCCCTGCTCATCCTGAATGACGTACACAGCCAGTCATGTTTTGGAACAGCACTTGATGTTTCTAGCGGGACACAAAACTGCACTGATCTCACTGTTTAAGAAAATAGGCACTGGTTTTATGATAAAAACATTTGCCAGCTGTTTTCATACTCGGAGAGCACAACTACTTTTTAGCGTGCTTTTTGGAACAAGCTCTGTTTAGAGAGGTACCTCAATAAATGAAGAGGTTTAATTTAGGTACATCCTGCATGCTTTTGGTCTGCTAAGGTAGGACAGACTTCACACAATCTCTCACATGAGAGCATAAAAAAAAACATTTGAATTTCGGCAACAGAAATGCCTATCTGAAGGGAATATAAGCCACATGTACAGCAAGAACGGCAGGGGGAAAATTTAGGGTTGACATCAGGAGGGGGTTCTTCACAGAGAAGGTGGTTGCACACTGGAACAGGCTCCCCAGGGAAGTGGTCACTGCACCGAGCCTGTCTGAATTTAAGAAGAGATTGGACTGTGCACTTAGTCACATGGTCTGAACTTTTGGGTAGACCTGTGCGGTGTCAAGAGTTGGACTTGATGATCCTTAAGGGTCCCTTCCAACTCAGGATATTCTATGATTCTATGATTCTAAGAATGCTAAGCACTAAAAACAATTGATTACTTTGTTAGCTCATGAAAATGACTACCCTAAAGAATGGCTGAAGGACTCAATATTGAGCGCCCCAAAATCCATCTAGCTATACTCTAATCAGGATGAATTTTTTACAGTAAGTGGGAGCCCTACACTGCATGATTCTTCAGGAAGGAAGCCAAGTATCAGTGGAGGATTTGCTGATCACGTTCATGGTTCTGCTAAAAAGAATCGATTTAACCTGGATTGCAAATTCAGGCTCTTGAAATCCTTCTGTGTAAGTCTGCTTGCTGAGCAGTAAGACGCTCTCATTACCATCAGTATTGGTTCTGTAAATTATCTAGATTTCAGAATAGCAAGACCTTCTTTTAGTTCCAGACCACTCTTTCCTGGCATATGCAACATCAGTGCAGATTATACATGACATATATTGCGGCTACTTTAATGAATGACAAAAGTTAACATTAAGAAAGGAAAGCTAGCTCATTGTTAGCAGCAGTTAGAAGAACAGCAATACAAGATTGAAGGGTGTATTTACTCATTGTACTCCCAATAATTAATTCTTCAATGCTGTCTTCAATTTTTTAAAAGGATTTGTTAACCAAAATTTAAGAATATGGAATTCAAAATAACACTAAGGAAGGCTTCATGGATAGTTGCCGTTTTTAGTTCTACTTGTTTGTACTGACTGGAACTTTTGATACAGCCTTTTTTCCTGCCAGGAAGGCTCAGTTCAGCAAGGGAAAATAGCTCCGTTACCACTGCTCATTCAACTCTCTAAGCTGTGCCACACTTGTCGATAAGTCGTACTGTTTGCCATGTGCTTGCATTTCATGCTCTGAAAACAAGACTAGGGCGCTGTATAATAAACCATCCCAGTTAAAAAGATTAAATAGATTTTTCAGAAAGTTTGTAGAAGTACAGTGAAAGCAAGATCAGCCTCTTTGGCTATGTGTTTTAAAATTCAAATACCACCTGCCTTCCTTCATGAATTAAGTCAGATTTTTTTCCAGCAGAACTGACCCCCAGGTGACAACATACCATGACTGTCCCCTTCCTTAAGATTTATACAGCTGGCTATTAATTTTAGGAGGAATGGGTGTGCATGTAAAGCCTGGCTTGAACAAACAGTGAGTAACAGCTCTGAAATACTGCATTAAATCCATCATTATGTAGTTCACCAACGAACTCCTTGAGTAGCCATTCCACTGAAATTGCAGGCGTGCAGTTATGAAGGTATGGGCAAGAAGCATCCATAAACTTTACGTTACTGATGTGTCATTAGAGTGGTCATGTGGAGTCAAGGAAACAAACACCTCTTCCTATCACCTTGGCCAGAATGGGACACGCTAAGCTTGTGTACTTTCTTCTCCTCAGCACCAACACCAAAATAACCAGATCATTTTCAAGTGTCAGAGACGGAAAGATTTGTTTCTTATCGTTGTATGAAAGGAAGAGTAACTTTATGATTAAGGGTTCATAATATACTTATAAAAACCATCACAAGTATAAACACCTTTAATACACGTTATTGATGTACGGGCCAGTTTTAATCTGCCAGTAGTCCCTGAAATTGCAGCTATAATAGCTGTCATTAAAACACTCAACTGCATGTTTGTGGTTATACTGTTATTACCAGGTTTGGAAATGCTCTTGAGAACACCACATATACTAGAGTATACCATCTACGCTGTCTGTACAAACAAAACTTTAATGGTTTCAATAGTTCTCACCACGCTTGTTATTACTACTACATTTCATTAACCACTTGTTAGCAAACTAGGCAATCTTCTTCCCTAAACATCATCTTCCCCAAAGATTAAATGCACATAAAGTATGTTTAATTTTACATGCACACCCCTTCACCCCAACGAAAGGATGAGGCAACTCCTGTGGGTGCTACATAGATAAATTTTAACAGTTGGAGAAAAATGGAACATCATAACCTTGGAGCTCAGTTATCAATAAATCTCTCTGAAGTACACCAAACAGAACTGCGATCCTGCTGCCAATACCTTACGGACCTTTCCTATCCTGTCTCTACCCCCTCAGCTGAAAGTCTCCTAAGTACAAGCCTCCATGTAGATGACATTTTTGGACTTC